TGGCCGGGCTGGGCGGATCTCCGGGCCGAGGCTCTTGCTACTTAGGGGTCTGAGCTGGGAGGGACTCTGCGGGAGGCGCCTTCGGATCTGGATCCGCGCTCCCCTCGCAGGGCCCCACGGTTTCCGACCAGCCCGAACCCCGAACCCTCCCAAGTGCTAGCACTGAGAGCTTCCAGCCTGAGCCGCGCCCCTAGGCGTTCCTCTGCCAGGACGGGATGGGGGGCGCCGTCTGTCAGTATTAGGGCCGAAGGAGGGGAAGCGGTGAGGGCAGGAAGGACGCGCCGGCTCCTCGCCCTGGCCGGGGGCCCAGGTCTCGGTGGCCTTGCACGCCAGCATGCTGTCCTCCTGGCTTGGGGCTGCTGGCTGCCCTGCCCTTACTGGTATTCTCGGCCTCCTAGAGGCCCAGACCGCGCACTGCGGCCCAGGGCAGGAGGCGGGGCGCTGGGTCGGGCCTGCTGTGCCTGACCTCGGCGGCTCAGCGCTCGGGTTGCTGCCCCGCCCGCCCGGAGACAGTGCAAAGGGATTAGCACTTTTTTCCTAGGCTCCTCTCCTACCCCGAGGGACTCCGTTTACCCCTAAACAGAATCTGGCGTTCTCGGTCCAGCGCCAGGTCTGTCCGAGTTCGGGGCACAGGCGGTCCCGCGGTTGGCCTGTGTCCCCGCCCCTCCCTCTGCCCCTTTGTCCTCGGTAGACGTGCCACCCGTTCTCAGCTCCCGGGGCCTGGGGCCTGGGGCCTGGGCTCCCTTTCTCTTCTCCGCAGCCGCTCTGGGCTCTTTGGGCCCGGGAAAGGGCCCTGCGACCTCCCAGGCAGGTCCGAGAGGGATGTGTAGATTCATTCTCCCGTGGAGAACAGGCAGCCCCGAGATCAGGCCCTTTTTTTGCTCTTTGTATTTTATTTTGAAACTGTATTTAATGCTTTTATATGAAGGGAGAGGGGCGGGAGAAAGCTGACCCAATCACCCTTAACGTGCAAATGTCTTATTTATTATGCGTGTATCAGAGATAAGCTGTGAGGGGATGGAGGAAGGACCTAAGTGCAGGAGACCTAAGAAGCGGAGATGAAAAGGATACTAAATGTCCCAGACACTCTGGCCGCCTCGCCTCTCTGGGTCCAAGTGTTGGGAAGCCATTGTGGGGAGGCCAGGGGATGAAATCTGGTGGGGGAGCGGCCCTCCTGGCTGCTGGGACCAGAGGCTGCCTGGGTACATGAAAAAGCAAGGCAAAGAATGAGTCCTTTGTCTCACCCTTCCAGGTCAGAGCCCAAGGTTCAAGTGCCTCAGGCCCAGTCCCCTTGACTTCCAGATTGGGAGTTGCATTTTATATTACAGGTTTTATAGCATTTTTATATAATTCAAGATTGTCAGAGTTGGATGGGACTCTGGAGATCATTAGTGCTACCCTTCCCCTTTCAAGGACAGGGAGAATTCCAAAGCCCAGAAACCAAACTTACCACACAGCTAGGTAGAAATAGAACAAGAGCTAGAATAAAAAATCTTAACTCCTAGTTCAGCGTTCTTTGCACTACACCACATTGCCTCCCGATCTCTGGTGTTAAAGTTTCCTCACCCGCCAGGCCCACCAAGGAGTGAATGGCACGTGTTGGCCCTGCAGGCTCCACAGCACTCTTCTGACCCCTGAGGGTGGCAAAGAACTGCTGACCTCTGGTGGGACAGTTCTCGCCCTTGTAGGCCTCAGCGGAGACGGAGACGGGTCAGCAGCCCCTGGCGGAAGTCCCCCCCCCCAGCAGGACCAGCCTAGGGCCCTTGTGTTCATTGTTTTGGGGCCATCAGGAATTAGCTGAAAAGTGAATTCTAAGTCTGGAGTTTCTGGGTTTTTGAGACAGTATTAGCAATTCAGAACAGAGACTAAGGGTGGCACCAGGCTGGGCTCTGCCATTCTTTTACTTTTCCTTCACGCATAATGCTTTCACACCTAGAATGACTGTTTTTAACACTGTCCATTGAAAAACAGGCAAATTGGGGCAACTGATTCTAATGACCCAAGCCCATTGCTGAAGGGAGCAGGTTAGGAAAGCTTCTGCCCTTGACAGGGAGGCTTGAGGCTGTGTGGATGTCTGGTCTTTATGGAGACAGCTCCAATCACTACAGTGGCTTTCAAAGTGAGGCTTCTGGGCTGGTAACATAATAGGAACTTGGTAGAGGTATGAATTCTTGGGCCATCCTGAGCTTGCTGAAAGAGAAACTACATGGAGGCCATAAGTGCATTTTGACAGGCCTCCCAGGGGCCTGGGGCAGCTTAGGCCATGGCTAGGACTGCTGAGACTGGGGGCACTGATCCCTTATGTGACTGCAGCCTCACATTAGGGGCAGGGTGTTTGCTGGTCTATCTCTAGGCGTGCCTCCTTGTCATCTCGGGATTTTGATATGAACAGGTGAAGTTTTATTTTATTGTTAATGGTATGCTTGCTATTATGGCCAATATGTAAATGTTACTCTGAACACATATTTATATACCTACCATGTTAGTGACACTATCCCAACATTTGTATGTGTATTTGTGAAGTTGTTTGCATCAGTCATTTAAAATTTTTTTCAACCTAAATTTTCTAAGAGGTATGTTGAATAAATTTTTAAAATCCAGCTTGAGTCACAGCAGCCTTAGTTTTGGGAAGAGCAGTGAGGAGTTCCTGAAGCAAAAATCTATATGGTGAATGATTCAATTTTAGTGGCTGCTTGTGGCTTATAAGATGCTTCATGTTGCAAGCCAGGAACCCGTCCAAGCTGGCGTGAGTCTGAACCAGACCCCTCTGGCCCCTCTATCCTTATCGTCTTTTTCTTGAGCTCCCCCTCTTAGAGGTCCTCTATTTTCTTTCAGAAACCAAAATGCACAGTTGTGCTCTACTATGGAAATCCCCCAATCTTGGGAGTCCATATAAATTACATTTTAAAGCCTCCAAAGTGAAGTGAGGATGGGGGAAGTGGAAGCCTTGTTCTTTACCCAAACTGTGTATAAAGAATAAAGTTAGGAGAATGACACCACAGTCATTGTGTTCTTTATTTTTAAATTAACCACATCAATTTGCAGTTTTACAGGAACCAAGATTCAAGCTCCTTGGGTGCTACTGTATTTTTATGTTGCACGCATAGACACGCACACATGATTTCATCAGTAATTTATCCATAGGTTTTTCTTAAAAAAAAAAAAAAGATTCCTGCATGGAATAAAGATCTCTCCAATTATCTCAACACAGCAGCAACAAAAGAAAAAAGCCAGGTATGGCAGCTTCCAGTACAGAAAGAGGTCCTTTGGAAGGGGACCACCAGTGCATGACTTCTGGGAGAGCGAAGGATCGCAGTGGAGAGTGACTTTCCTACTACACAGAAAATCAGTCAAAGAATTCAAAAGGAAATGAGGCTGAGAAAATGGAGTAAGGCAAGGGCATCTTGTACTCATTTAAATTCCTAAGTAATTTTCCAAAAAGTAGAAAGAAAATTCTTTCTACCACTTTCTAAGAAGTGCAGTACTCTGGGACCATCAAGTATTGTAGCCTTTACTTAAAAAGTCCTAGCTCACAATCCCTTCTGAATGGGCAGGATTATGAGCTACAATCTGAGAACTCCTGCGACTACTTCTGAGTTGACTGACTTCCATGTGGAAGGGCAGGAAGAAACTCAGACCTAGTCCCATTCCACATGGCATCAACACAAGTTCCTCTGCTGTCCTTCGATTGTACGAAATCCACCAACACAATCTGGCCCTGCCTGGTCACCCTCACCTAAAACTGCTTGGAAAATACTCTCCAAAGGAGCACCCTGGGCCACGGCAGAGGTGCTGAGCCATTTTATGAAAATGGAACGATTCCTCACAATAACATATACCCATAAGATATCTTCAAAGCAGTTAAAACTCCACATGGACCACAAATACACACGATCTCCTCTCAAGCCAGCCTGGCTTTGGTCCTTAGGCTAAACTGACAGGGAAATAAATGCTAAATATGCAGCATGTGAAAAGGAAGTGATAAAGGATAAAAAGGCCTTTTGTATTTCTGTAAGTTCATTTCTTGAGAATGCCCCCACCCAGACTGAGATAGTATTAACAATAATTGGGGAGCACACATGCAGATTATTTTTTCTCTAACAAGTTTACAGCAGTGTACAGCAGTTACAGACATTTATTTCATAATAAAAGTACAACCATATTTATTAAACTCAAGTTGAGGTGGGCAAGGAAGAGAGGGGAAGCACACTTGAGAATATGTTCTCCAATGAAAGCTAAGAACTGGCATCCAAGAGAAATGAATGACAGGGTTACCTCCCTCCCAGCTACTGGAGCCCTTCCCTCTAGAGAAGAGCAGCAGAGGGCAGGCAGCCCAGGCTGCGCTCCTGGCCCCTGCCCCTGCCCCTCCCTCCCTTCACCTATCCCAGGTTCTCTTTCCACTCTTACTTCCAGATTTGTGGGAATCAGGAAATACCATTATCACCTATAAGTTATTCAGAGTTGAAAGTTATAAGAGGAGGAATATTAGGAATAGCTGCTCACAGTGTGAGGCAGGAAGATGGGACTGGAGGGCCTCCAAAAACCCAAGGGAAGAAATCCCACTCCTGACCTCAAATAGTTTCTTCATAAGTTAATTATTTTGTAACTTAAAAATAAGGGTGAAACCACAACGGGTGCTGCGTAAGACTAGTTCTTTTAAACTGGATAGAAGGACCTGAGAAATTTATTCTAGCATTCATTTTCTCACCTTTGATTTCTCCTCTTTCATGCTACAGGTAAAACCTCTATCACCATTAAGGTATGATTTAGTCTACTAATTTGATTCTTTCTTTATTCTTTTGGGCTCTAAGGTATCAGTTCTTTTTCCAATCCAACATTTCTTGTGCTTGATACTGAGGGTAAAGAGAAAGGAGGGAAGAAACCACCAAATTAAAAAAAAAAAAGCTTGGAATGCAGGCTCAAGCTGACACTGAGCATGTTCCTTCATGGTACAAGTAATGAAGTTATAACTATTAAATGATGTTTTAGTAACTGTTGCGTTTCTGGTTTCCATGTGCTTATTCGGCCTTTTTTTTGGCGATTCCAGGGAGTTTTGCTTGGATTCTATGAGAAAAATGAAAGAAGGTAAAAACATAAACATTTGTTCTAGGTTTCTATTTTCACGGTGATGCTAGGAGGTGGTCTTGACTTACTGCGGCAATGTGCAAAACATAGGGATGGGTGAAGAGAGTCAGGCTACAAGCTGTTCTGGTATCTGCCTGGCATGAACCTGAGAGGTGCACAAAGGAGCCCTGTTCCTTTGTTCACTGCAAGGAATCCTGATGTCTTTCAGAGGGGGCTCCAGAAAATGGAGGGACCCAGGCACAATGACTGCTGACTATGTACTACACACCAGCAGGGTCAAAGCACATTTCTATGGCTCTGTGAGGCGCAGAAAAAGGGACTACAGGTCACCTACCTACTAAGGCCAGAAACTAACTAGAAGTCAGGGTGATGGAGGCATGGAGGAACCAGTAGTCCTGGTTCTCAGGACTAAGGATCTGGTAACAGCTCCCAGCCTCTGTCACAGGACAGCAAAGCTGTCCTTATATCTGTCAAAGAGGTCATTCAAACTCCACAAATGTCACAGCAGGCCTCCTAGGTCAGATAACACTGGCAACCAAGGTATCAGGTCTTAAACTGAGCTACAACCATCTTTCCAAATTAAGGAGGATAAATAGCAGCCAGATAAATATTTGTGCTCATTTAAAAGCAAAAAAAAAGGTGAAGATTCTGGCATCAAGCCAAACCCACCTGGATATATTCACTTTCCTTTTTCAGTGTTGAGGATAAAAGGCAGGGCCTCATACATGCTAGGTGAGTGCTCTAACACTAGCTATTCCCAAACTATTCAGTTTCCTGGAAAAAGCAGTGAAATCTGGGGTGTGAAAGGGATTCAAGCAGCACAAAGGGGATTTAACAGTCTGTGGTACTTTGTTTCCTAAAGAACAGCTGAAGAAAAAAAGGAAGAAGGTTAATATTTTAATTCAAAGTGTTGGGTTCATATTATTTGCTATAAATAATTCAAATAAAGAGACCCTCCTTGATAAAGTGAGTCATAAAGATGCTTATTAATATTTTGTTACTTGGTTTAAGTATTCATTGGTTACAAAAGGAAAACAGAAGGATATGTAGTCTTAGGAAAGAGTCAGCTTTTTTTTTTTTAAATGTTGAGCAGCCAAAAGGTCATGGTTTATTATATCTGAAGAAAATTTTAGTAAAGAGTTAGCTTTAAAGCTGTTATTTATTTACTGAGAGAGGGGAAGAGTTGGGCTTGACATGGATATATATGTAAAGCGGGGAAGACAGGGGCAGAAAACTAAGAACATTTTTAAGAGTTAAAATTGTCCTAATTCCACAAGTCCATTTTAATCTAAGGTACATAGGATTTTAAAAAATAAGCAGCTAAAATAATTTTCAGTAAAATAAAAATATATTAAGCAAAGTTTTGAGGATGAAAATTACTATCTTTGTCAACAGTACTTCACACAGGGTACTAAAAATAATCAGGGGAGTCTGGCATGGTGGCAGACTAAGCTTGGGCCAACCTGAGAAACTAGATACTAGTTAAGACTCTGTCTCAAAATAAAAAATAAAAAGGGCCAGAGATTTAGCTCAGTGGCACCAGCACCTGCCTGAGTTCGATCCCTGGTTCCTCAAAGAAACAAACAAACAAATAAATGGGCCGAGGATGTAGCTCAGGGGCAGGCCTTGGGTTCAATCTTCCATGGGGGGTGGAGAAGAGAGAGGGAGAGAGAGAGAGAGAGAGAGGAGAGAGAGAGAAGAGAGGGAGGGAGGGAGGGACAGAAATCAAGGAAAACAAGCACCTATCATAGTGAAATGTTCCTAGATGTACTTACTTTTTTTTTTTTTGGTTTTTGAGACAGGTTCTCACTATGTAGTTGAAACTGACCTGGAACTCACTATGTAGCCCAGGTTGGTCTCAAACTCACAGCCATCCTCCTGCCTCAGCCTCCGGAGTGCTGGGATTATAGGCATGTGCCACCATGCCTGGCTTAAATGTACTTACTTTTCAACAATTGCCTTGGTCTGATCTCGGGCAATGCCAACGTAGTGATCAATCTGGGTCTTTTAAGGAAGGAAAGAAGACTCAGTTGTGGCAACACATATATTAACAATTTTCCTAACAACACTGTATTTTTATCTAACCACTGAAGAATATTCTCAAAAGTGAAAAGAATACCCAATTTTCAAAAGTATTTTTAAAACATGTAAGTTCCGACTTCAAATTATGCCATAATTTGTTAAGAAGTGAAAATCACTCATCTTTTACAGAGATAAGGATAATTTGGTAGGTTATTTCCTTTATTTTTATTTATTTAGGTTATTTCCTTTAGAGACACTGACTGGAGTCTGAATTTTCTGAATACTAAAAACTGTGTGTCTTCTATAGTCACAAATGTGTTATAGCTCCTAAGACCAATTTATTTAATATCAAAGCCAAAAAGTCTGCTGACAAATGGAGTAATAAAAAAATGACTTCAAAGCATCCAACATCTCTGCACACATCATTTCAGAGTATAAACATCCATTCATGCTAAATCCTGTAATAGCCTACAGTTAAGTTTCTTTTTAGACACTCAGCTTTTATTCATTAAGTATTTAAAAATTCATTTTTTTGTATTAATGCAATTGTGATAAAAACTCAGATGGCACACTAAGTACAAAAAGTAAGTCTATTTCCTACCCATATATATTCTAGGTATACAATTTCTCTTGCTGGAAGAAACCACTGTGACCAGTTTCTCATAAACACTTGACTTAAAATTAACTGAAACTAGCCATACATCAACGGCAGATGTGATTTGGAACAGATGCCTACCTTGTACTTCTCGTAGACAATTGGGACACTGAAAACGAGCAGCTCAGCTGTAAGAATCATGGACAAGGCAAGTATGAATACGAGTCAGTTATAAGTCTTAAGACTCAAAGTAACACACGTGCTTCCTCATGAAATCTATGGAGACAGATCTTCCTCAAAATAAGGACAGAAAAGCTAATTTATAGTACTGTAATAATAAACACAAACCTCTCCAAGTACTCAGCTGCTTTTTTTGTACCACAGATAACAATTTCCAAACTATGGGGCTCTATAAATAAGATCCTTGTATTTAAATTAAATCTGGGCAACTCTCCTTTCTTTACTTCTACCTGTTTAGAAATTTCTTTATAACTGGGCCCATTTAGAAGAACTGTGACCACAAACACAAGTTCCTCCAATACCTATTTCAGTCTCTGTAGATATTAAAAGCAGGGCATCCTCTTTACAGGCTTACAAATTTCTTCAAAGAGCACAGAAACACTTTCCATGCCACCTTACCAAGAATCAGAAGGGTGATTCCATTAAAAACGGCACCAACATAGGTCATCAGCCACATGAACACAGCCAGCTGTGAAAACCACGATCAGAAGGTTAAGCAGGAATAACCACAGGGCAACATTCAGACTGGTATCATTCTCCTCTGGCTAGGTCTGCATAAAGCAGCGATGTAGACATAATTTCTAAAAGAAGGTTCCCCTACCTGCACTGCATATCTGAGGTGTGTGAGAGAACCCTGAAATTCCCAGGTGGACTGTAACTGTGCTGCTGCTTATTGTCATCACTGTTCTGATGTTTGTTCTCTGGCAGGAGATGGCAGCCTTCTCTTATTGACTCCTACACCTCCATTTTTACAGGTCGATGGAGATAAACATATGTTCATTTTTTTCTGATAAAAACTTATGCACTATTTTCCCTCTGAATTGATGCTTGGCTTTTCTAAGTCTGACCATCAAAAGCTGTAGAAACAACCAACCTTCAAGGAGTCAACCAGATCTTCCACCAGAAAGAGACGAATGATGAGCTTCAGGGCCCTGTTGACATGCACCATTGCAGCATTCACGTAATTATGGAACGCTTCCGAGGACAGGGTAATGTCCAAGTCCAAGTAGGCTCTTCCAGGAAAAGAAACACCAGTCATATGTCAGTACAGCAGCTCTTACAGAAATGTGTACCGGCATTTTCTGCTGTCACGGAGAACAATACTGTCAATTTAGTGAGCAGAGGCAAAAATGCCACCTATGCTCGTGGACGTGCTTGTATAATCCTAGCACTCAGAAGGCTGAGGCAGGGGCTGGGGATTTGGCTCAGTGGTTCCACTGCCTGACTCGCAAGCTCAAGGGCCCAAGTTTGATCCCCAGTACACACACACACACACACACACACACACACACACACACACGCACACACACACACACACACACACAAAGGCTGAGGCAGGAAGACTGTAAGTTTGAGCCCAGCTTGAGCAACTTAAAAAGTCTCTGTCTCAAAAAAATTTAAAGGGCTGGGGACGTAGCTCAGAAGGCCCCAGGTTTGATCCCCAGTATCTTAAAAAGAAAAGCCGGATACCTGCAAAGTATGAGACAGTCACTCACAAAGAAATAATTATCCTACATTATGTCTCACTGGATAAAGCCATACTTTGTTTATGCTAAAACTTCACTAAATTTTTATCTATTTACCATTTTGGAAAATCACATCTGCATTGGTGATAATATGGGTAGGTGCCAAGTATCTACGTCCTTAGGTTTTTCTGGTACAGTCCTTTCAAAGCAATTAAATACTGACAGAAACACCTATTGCTCTGTTAGAAGTGACTTTCTATGTTATCCCATCTCTATAGTAATTGATCTATATATTTTGAAATATGTTTATAGATAAGATTATATCATCTACACATTTTACTTCAGAATGATAAACGAGGCTTTGAAAATGTTTGTGAGAAAAACAAAAAGGACAAAGATAATGAGGTGAACTCTATAGAAGAAAAGAATATTTGGGTTCTGTTCCCAGAGGCACTACTGAACTGAGATGTAACCATCGCTCATGACTTGCGAATTTACTCAGTGTTTACTGAGTACCTACTGTATACCAGACATCCTGCGAGATGAGATGCCAGGCTGTCAGGGAAGGTAAGGCTGTTTTCACATCATAGAGCCTACAGTCTTGTGGGAAAAATGGCAAAGTAACAGGCATGTTTTTGCTTTGTATTTAATGAGAAAATATTTAATATCAATACAAAAGATTTAAAAACTAGATACTGTAATTTTTAAAATAAGTTTTATTTTGTTCTATCCCCCCAATCCCTCATAGGTATTGCAATTAGTACAGATTAACAAAACACATTTTAGGGGTACATAAGTGTCATCCAAAAAGGGGGAAAACTCATTAAGACATCTGAGCTTGTAAAACAGTAAAATTTATTTTACTTTCATTCTACAACTACTCATTCATTAAAATTAATTTTCAATGCTGCATATAATTTAAGCTATTCTTTCTATTTTCATTGTAAGAAAGTTCAAGCAGCAGCAGGGCAGCCACAACCTATTCTGTGATAGTCCTGACAGATTACAGCAAGGTCTCTTCATGAGAATATGAGTTTTAAAAAGTGTCATTTCTAATGTTCTGGTAAAACATTTTTATGAGCCAAGAATTTCAAGAGGGAAAGTGTGAAGAAAATATTCGTAAAGTTACAGCACCATCAGAAAAGCTAGCAATCAGATCCTGGAAATGCCTTGACCTACTGACATCAGTAAGCCTTGCCTCTTGGACCATGAAAGCTACACATGAACTAAGAAGGAAATCAGTGATAAAACTGAGAGTCAATACACTGAGTTCAAAATTTTAAACCATTTCAAGACTTAACCATGTAGGCTCAAAGGAGTATATGGCCAACTGACTGCTGTATTTTCTGCCGTTTTGATCTACAGACATCTCTGGTGTTGAAGCATGACCATCTAGTTTTGTCAGCAAGTTCTTGATTCCTAACTGGGCCTCCTCTTAAGGTGATCACAATATCTTCAGAAAATGATTCATGTTACCAGTTAGTTGCAGGAGGCCCCATATATTTTTGTAACAAAAAATATGGGGAGTATTTTGAGACAGAGTTGTGCTATGTATTCCAAGCTGGCCTCAAACTCAAGGTGATCCTCCTGCTTCAGTCTCCTCAATGCTGGGATTACAGGTATGCATCACCACACCTGGCTAAGGCCCTGTAACTTTTCTTGGTGGGGAGGGGTTGAAAAAGGGTCTTGCTATGTAGTTCAGGATGGCTTTGAACTATGTAGCCTGTGCTGGCCTCGAACGCACAGTGATCCTGCTGCCTAAGACTCCTGAGTGCTAGGTTTATAAGTGTACACCAACACACCTGGCCAAGTCTGCAACTCTTGATTTTTTAGTCAGGTCCAATTTTTAGACCTGATCAGCCTCATCAAACCCATCCACTAAAATGTGTAATGTCCCTTGTAATACAACTCACTTGAATGGATGGCCTTCTTCTGACTTCTGCACAGCTTGGATGACAGACTTGTAGACTCTGAAGCTGATTGTGACAGAGAGAAGAGCCAGGATGAGGTAAGATACCACACTGATGACACTGAAAGCTGCCAGGGAAAGCAGCATGATCAGCGTGGTGCCAAAGACAAACCCAGTCTTCTTCACATCTCGCCAGAAAATCAGATCGTGCGCTGCCAGAAGAAAGACAACGTAAGTCACAGAAGCCAGTGTGGCCCTCTGGCTGTGTTTTACACGCTTGGGGGAGCATTCTGCTAGTACAGAGGTACAGGTAGGCATACTATTTCAAGAGAACCTGTTACTCTTTCCTTTCCCCCCTGCTACTGAAGTCTACTGGAGTGAAGTGTCAGTAACCTTAAATGTTCTTGAAGGAAGGATGACAGCAAGGATGCAAGATCTTGCTAACTACTGATTAAATTAAACAAACAAGCTGGGTGCAGTGTATGAGCCTATGGGATGGTCACTTGAGCCCAGGAGTTCAAGGCCATCCTTGGCAATACAGTGAAACCCAGTCTCAAAAAACTAACAAACAAAGCCTATAAATTGATCAGATCAACACACATATAAATTGGGGTAAAGGTGAAGAAAGTGGTGATAAAAACAGAGCAATCTTCATTAGTCTTAAGTACAAGGAAACAATGGTCATGGGATTAACCTGAAGAGAACTCAGGAAGAATTATGAGTAGGGGACCATGCAACCATCCAAACTATAATTTTTTTTAAACTTCAAGAGATCTGTATCTATTTATATCTATCTATCTATCTATCTATCTATCTATCTATCTATCTATCTATCTATCTATCTATATGTATGTATGTATCTCCCAGGCTAGCTCTAGCTCTATGCTCTTGCTCTCAAGCAATCCTCCTGCTTCAATCTCTTGAGTAGTTGGGACTGCAGGTGCACACTATCATGCTGGGTCAAACTTACACACACACAAACACCAATGTTCCCCCCTAGCCTCGGTACTGTGGATTGTACTCATGACCTTGCACTTGCCAGGTAGGCGCAGAGCCATTCAGCTATATCCCTGGCCCCAAACTTTTAATACATTTAAAATTGAGTATTTAAAAGTGTGTGGGGGGTATTATTTAGCTTAGTGGTGTTATACCTGTCTTGCAAGTGCAGGGTCTTAAGTTCGATCACTGGTATGGGGGGAGGAGTAAGTGAAGGCACAATAATTATGTCTAGAAATAGGTGTAAACGAAGCTCATCCCAGGCAATCAGATCTTAAAGTTGGGCATGTCCAAGACACTTCAAACACTAGACAGCAGTAATGCAAACGACCTCCAACCTAGACATTACCATTTGCATTTCAATCTGTGAAGGCTAACAAGCCCCACGGTGACTTTCATCCCAGAGAATCTGCATGCAAAAAAAAAAAAAAAAAAAAA